GAAGCTGTCGTAGTACCTCAAATTCAGGGAGTAGGGTTTAGGGTTTTAGGGGTTTTAGGGGTTTTAGGGGTTTTAGGGGTTTTAGGGGTTTAGGGTTTAGGGTTTAGGGTTTAGGGTTTAGGGTTTAGGGTTTAGGGTTTAGGGCTTAGGGTTTAGGGTTTAGGGTTTAGGGTTTAGGGTTTAGGGTTTAGGGTTCAGGGTTCAGGGTTTTGACACAACACTCCATCAGGCTGCCCCTTTCTTGCATCGAGGCCCCTGGTCTGACCCCCAAGACCCCCTGTGCACCCTCAACCCTAAACTTAGGCGGGCGCGGGATTCAAGACGCCCCTCATTTCCCTGTGACTGTCTACGAAGTGTAGTTTTTCTTGTATTTGCCGTCTGAATCGGGTGCCTTAGAGACTCAAGACAGATTCTGCTCCGACAAAGCCTCGCTGTTGCTTTTCATTAGGGGTTCATTACTAAACCCTCCTAAATTACCTCTTCTTGAGCTCTTTAATATGGCCGAATATTTAAGATGCCCCTGGGTTCTTCGCTCATTTCTGCTCCGACAGCAGCTTCACACCATGGAAGATGATGATGTGTGATATGTTGCGATGCTGATCATTTAGTATGGTCGAAACACTGGGCCTGGAGCCTCACACTTGCAAGCCTAGTTCAATCCAATGAAACTCCAACCCCTGAAATCCAAACAACTGACCAACGACACGGCACTTAAGACTTTCCAAACACACCTACGCCGGGCGCGGGGCCTACATAGTCAGCCTAACCACCTGATCTTATGGTAAACACCCGATTCCGGAAAAAAATCGCCTTTAAACACCAGAAACCTCTCTCTTTTTTAAATTAAAACCAAGGGACATCTTAAATCCCGCGCCCGGCTAAACTTATAGGGTTCTTAAGGGAGCGGGGTTTAGGGTTTAGGGTTTAGGGTTTAGGGTTTAGGGTTTAGGGTTTAGGGTTTAGGGTTTAGGGTTTAGGGTTTAGGGTTTAGGGTTTAGGGGGGGCCTAGGGAACCTTAGGGAAGCTTCACGGGAGCCTGACAGAGTTGTAGGGAGTATCAGGGAACCTCGGGGTACATACCCCCCTTGAACCCCCCTCCCTGAAGAACCCTCTAATCAACCCTAAAGCACCCTGAAGCCTAGACCCTAAGCAATGAAGAGCCCTAATCCCAAAAAGGGATACGGGTTGTTGGGGAGCAGGGCCTCAAATCCTCACTGGGGTAGGTTTGGGCACCCACACAAAAAAAATGGCTTCATAAAGACTGTATCGCGTTCAAGGTCAAGAGAAAACTTTAAAACTATGTTCTAACCTACTCCAGCTCGGGTCCTGAGGCTCGGATGAGAAGATGAGGGTCGGGTGCTTCGAAAAATTGCTGGTCTGGGGGCGAAACGCATCAAAGCACACTGGGGAAATGTTAGGGGCCTTGGCTTGCTGACATTTGTGTGCTGATCCCAACAGGCACCAAGAGTCCTAAACCCCAAACCCTAAACCCGCATGCAAGCAGCAACTCCCTCTTTACTAGTCCCCTGAAAGAAAGAGAGGTAACTGTCACATCTCATGTCATCCTTGGGCTATCTAGGGGTCCAGACTCTGACTCGGAGAAACCTAAGAACTGCGAAACCTCACAAAATCAAGCAACATGCAGGTTCCCCAAAATGCGGGGGGGATCGTGCGGGGTGCTCTTCTCCATTTTGGGGTCCCGAGTACTTTGGGGTACATTGCGGGCGGCTCTACGCGGGGAAATACCCACATCGAGCCCGAAGACCACGAGACGCTTAACCTAAACCCTAAACCCCAAAACCCTAAACCCGTGAAGCCTTCGATGCCTTAATTCGGACCCCGCCACATCCAGACCAGCTGGACGATTTCAGGCTCGAGGAGCATGCCTTTCGTCATCGTTTCAGAGGCTCAGGGTTTAGGGTTTAAGGTTTAGGGTTTAGGGTTTAGGGTTTAGGGTTTAGGGTTTAGGGTTTAGGGTTTAGGGTTTAGGGTTTAGGGTTTAGGGTTTAGGGTTTAGGGTTTAGGGAGGCTCTGGAATGTGGTGGTTTCCGACATTAGGGTACCTCACTGGGGTCCATACTATACGGTGATCCTACTTTTTGGGGCTCTCTTTTTGGGGGCCCCCTATGTTCGTAAACCCCCATGTAGATTTCAAGGCACCAGAACGCATGGCTAGCATGCAATACCAGGCTGCTCGTCAAGTATTCTCCTTTGGAGACCATGCACCTCGGACTTTCGAGGTCTTGCGGCAACTAGAAGGAAAGGAGTTCCCAGGTTTAGGGTTTGGGGTTTGGGGTTTGGGGTTTGGGGTTTGGGGTTTGGGGTTTGGGGTTTGGGCTTTGGGCTTTGGGCTTTGGGGTTTGGGGTTTGGGGTTTGGGGTTTGGGGTTTGGGGTTTGGGGTTTGGGGTTTGGGGTTTGGGGTTTGGGGTTTGGGGTTTGGGGTTTGGGGTTTGGGGACGAAAGCCTAAACCCTAAACCCTGTAAAATGAACCCTTCTATGAGGAAAGGGAAAGCACTGAAGCCCCAAAGCTTTTGCATCCACAACCCTAAACCCTAAACCTTTCTCCCTAAACCCTAAACCCACTCCTCTCCAGGGGCTGTTGTGCTTTGAAGTCTAGCCCTAACTGCCACAGCTTCGGCACTTGCATGCGGATCTGTCTGATTCCTATTTAATCGTTTCGCTCTTGTCACTGCGGCAGCTGCTTGACATGTTGCGCTTTGGGCTTGGGGAACTTCCGGCGCTCATTGCCCGAAACCCTAAACCCTAAACCCTTAACCCTAAACCCTAAACCCTTAACCCTAAACCCTAAACCCTAAACCCTGAACCCTGAACCCTGAACCCTTCCATGAGGAAGGGGAAGCAACCCTGAGGCTCTAAAGTCGCTGTTCGAAGCCCACAAGTCGAGGCACGGTTCAGGTGGGGGAGAGTCTTTCGGGCTGCTTAGGGTTTAGGGTTTAGGGTTTAGGGTTTAGGGTTTAGGGTTTAGGGTTTAGGGTTTAGGGTTTAGGGTTTAGGGTTTAGGGTTTAGGGTTTAGGGTTTAGGGTTTAGAGGGTTTAGGGTTTAGAAGTTAGGGGTTTAGGGTTTTGGGCTTCGGGTTTGGGGTTTAAGGGAGCCTTGCGAGGATGATGCGAGCTTTACTAGGGAGCTCGGTGTCGCTCCAAACCCTTTTGACCCTAAACCCTGAACCCTATTGACCCTAAACCCTAAACCCTAAACCCTAAACCCTAAACCCTAAACCCAACTCATCTATGGGAACTTCTCAACTCAGGTGTCCTTTGAGGTTGCCAACATCACAGGCTGAGATGTCGAACTTCTTGGTTGAGGCTCACGGCTTAGCGTACGGCTTTAGGGCGGCAGGGCAAGCCCTCAACCACCTCGCCCCCAAACCCTAAAACCCTAAACCCCCAAGCACAATAACTCAACAGGCGTTTTCCCTAGATCCGGCCTCTAGACCACCCAATGGTCCGTTTCGGCCTTTGGGCCACCCCAATGTCCTTTAGGTTTTTAGGGCTTGTTTCGCGGCTTAGGGCAGGGTTTCTGGTTTGGAGTTTAGGGTCCCTTTTCCCCTCCACCCTTCCCAGCGGAGGCACGTGTGAGCATAGAGAGCCTGGGCTCACGGTAGGGTTTAGGGTTTAGGCCTCAGGGTTTAGGGTTTACTTTGGGGGTAGGATTTAGGAACTTGCCAGCACCGAATCCTAGCTGCTGTGTACGCACGCCCCCTACAGACCGTAGCCTCTTATCCACTGCTTAGATACAAGCCTCCTATACGTCTCAGATAAGAGTGAGAACGCCCTGCAGGCCTAACCTCAGAGAGCCGAACGCCCTGCAACGCCCTCACCCTAAGCCAAGCCCTAAGCCCAAAACCCTGGACCCCAATAAACCCTTAACCCTAAACCCTAAACCCCTAAACCCTAAACCCTAAACCCCTAAACCCCTAAACCCCTAAACCCCTAAACCCCTAAACCCCTAAACCCAAAACACCCTAAGGCGCTCCGAGAGCTCCAGGACCTGAGCACCCATGAAACTTTCCCGGAAAACCCGACGTCGCCACAAATGCCCCTGCACCTGAACCTTCAAGCACCCGAGGTTTAGGGTTTAGGGTTTAGGGTTTAGGGTTTAGGGTTTAGGGTTTAGGGTTTAGGGCTTAGGGTTTAGGGTTTAGGGTTTAGGGTTTAGGGTTTAGGGTTTAGGGTTTGGGGTTTGGGGTTTGGGGTTTGGGGTTCATCCACTTAGAACTTGGAACCACCCCAAGTAGGGCATTTTTGCTTTCGGATGGCGGGAATGATGCATTCAACTGGGGGGGGGCCTATGGATTGAGCACGTTGTTCCCATTCTGTGTACCATCAACTCTCGAAACTAAGTATGCATAACAACAAGTAAAGCAATTCAGCTCCCGCATGAGGAGGTCCGATGCAAGAAAAACACAAGGCTTGCCATTCGCGATTTTAAGGTGTATCCGGCTTCGGGAGAGCCTCCACCCCCTCTTGCCGACCCAAGGGGTCTGGCTACAAGACTATGCCGGAGCCACCGCGAGAACGTGCACTATGCCCCTATGATGTGCAAGCCGAAGCGGATTCTTCTGCATCCAGGCCTCTCTGGATTAGTCAGCCTAAGCCCTTGACCCTTAACCCTAAACGGCTAGGAGATCCGGATGAGACTCTTCCGGTGCAGGTCCAACCAGGTGTCTAACTTTCTGAACCCGAAACCCGAAACCCGAAACCCAACTCCGAAGCCCTCAAGCACGAATACTTCAAAACCCCAAAATGCCTATGCCGGGGTGTTGGGTTGAAGTCGTCCCCCCCCCCCCGAGAGTCGCCAAAAACGTCATCCAAGCCACCTCTTCTTCAGTCTGGTCCTCGCAGCACTCTGGGGTGAGCATCCCTAGTAAACCCGATGGGTGGCATGCCTGCTTGGGCACTTGGAGGTTCAGGGTACATATAACTGCACTAGGGTGCTTAGGGGGTTATAAGTGGGCTGGAGCTACAGTTATAAGTGGGCTATAAGTACTCCCCATAGGTTCCGGTCACAAGGTGCACCATGCTCTTGGGCTCCTGGTTACCATCGTCATCTTCCTCGGGCTCTGAGATGACGCCTTAGCAGTTGAGCAGTGCAGCATGTATCGGGGGGGCGGGGGGGGGCAGGGGGCAGGGGGCAGGGGGCAGGGGGCCAGCAAGTCTCTGAATCAGATGGCTCTACGGTTCAAAGGATGTTGGCTGATCAAGGGCGCCAAACCCGCGCTTCGGTTGCCTTGAAATGCACCAAGCGGCTCAAGTCGTCACGATTCACGGGAGACATAACCTCACTTTGTTCCTGTCGAGCAGGGCATGCGAACCTACTAGCACAAGCGCAGGAAGAAAGAGAGGAGCATCGGCATGGAAGGCATGACACCGTTGGCAGGCGCAGCCGCAGCAACTGTTTCATAAACCCTAAACCCGAAACCCGAAACCCTAAACCCTAATCCCGAACCCTAAGCCCGAAACCCTAAACCCAAAACCCGTAACCGCATGTAACCGCAGCTGCCGCCTCCGACCAACTCGTCGTCCCTTTCGAGATGTTCCGAGCCTCAGCGCTGGGACACGCAAAGTCGGCTGGGCTGTTTGCAGAATTTGCGCCTCAATCCAAAAACGGCCCAACAGTCTCGAAAAAACCTAAAACCTAAACCCTAAACCCTAAACCCTAAACCCTGAACCCTGAACCCTGAACCCTAAACCCTAAACACCACACACCTCGAAATGGCAATGCAACACCAGCGGGCCCTGAAGTCTGAGCCGCCACCCACCCAGGGCTCAGGCGTCGATCTCTACCGCAGGAGGGATGCCTCCGCTGGACCTTGTAAGGTGGTCGACGGGCTTTTGGTTTGTCCATCTCTGTATTTACGTGTTTTAAAACAGGCGTGTGTATATATGTGTGTGTGTGTGTGTGTGTGTGTGTGTGTGTGTGTGTGTGTGTGTGTGTGTGTGTGTGTGTGTGTGTGTGTGTGTGTGTGTGTGTGTGTGTGTGTGTGTGTGTGTGTGTGTGTGTGTGTGTGTGTGTGTGTGTGTGTGGTGGTGTGTGTGTGTGTGTGGGTGTGTGTGTGTGGTGTGTGTGTGGGTGTGGTGTGTGTGTGTGGTGTGTGGTGTGGGTGGTGTGTGTGTGTGTGTGATGGTGT